CAGTGATCCCCTTTGGGGATATGAGGTTCTTTTACGTGCCGTAAAGTTACGACACGGGACACACAGCTTAAAGTCCCTCCCGGAGGACTTGTTCCCTGAATTTTTCCGCCCTTAAAAATTCGACGACCTCCGTCGGGTATTTGAACCCGCGTACCACGAGTCATGAGGTGGGAACGTTGCCTCTAGACTACGGAGGCCGCTCAATGGGAAGTAAGTAGACTTAAACGGGGCAAGGCTAATATTTCTTTATAAGAGATATCTTGCGACCAGTCTCTTCTTAATACATGAGTGAGCAGTAAGGTGATTATCATCACATACCTTCATAAGAGATACCTTGATCCATTAAAGTTGGTAATATATTTTTGTAGTGTTGGCTATGCCTTCTGATGACGGCCAGTAATGACTGAAACACGTAAACGCAATTTTTTATATTCTCATATTAAACTTATTGCATTTGGTGGAACTTGATGCTCACTCATGTAGGGTAAATATCCTTTATATCTGTCGTCTTATTCACTGCTGACAGCAAGACTTATGGGGTAAATCAAACTTTTCTTTCGCGTGTTTATTTCGCCAAGTATTAACTGAACTTCCACAGCCCGGTCTTCGGGGGCCGAGATTGAAACAGGATATTTCATTCAAGAAGTAGAAATGCTGACTAGTACACCGCTACAATCAGTTTAAGGACGACAACAAGAAAATGAATGGAAGTCACACTCAGTTAATGAGATGCAACTTAAACTTAAGAAAAATCAGACATAATAAATTTAAAATCGTACTAATATACTTATGTGTGAGCACTTAAATTCCTTTTATTCAAATGTTTATTTGTTGACAATATTATTTGAGCTACATGCTGAACCCACGAAAGTAAGTGGCTAGGAGCAAGTGTATTAGTGTAATAATTATGGGGCAACTCCGTTGTTCTGTCAAAGTCACTGCCTTCCATATTGCCCACACCGTATATTTAGCTTCATATGGGTGGCTGTGATGGAAGGACCAGCCTGTAAGATTTGCAGAATTGAACTACAGCATGAAACTCCTCTATAGAGTCCGGATAGCTTAGTCAGTGTAGCGTGTAAGCTATGGACTGGGCATCCTAGGACTCGAGGTTCGATTCCCTCTAAGGGAAAGAAATTTTTCTCTTCTCCATAACTGCTAGACCAGATCTGGGAGCCACCGAACCTCATGTACAATTTAAACTGGGGGTTGTTTCACAGGGGTTGAAGCGGCCGGCGCGTAAATTTGACCACTCTCCTCCATCTAGTGCCCAGGTTAACAATTATGGAGCTACAACTCAACTCCCCAATATGCCTTCATGACATAATCCTTAATTATTTATTTAAGCACAAGGATATATTTACCTTTACCTCAGTAGAATTATTATATCTTGGCGTCATGTTGATTTGTATTATATTTATTGTTTTGCTTCCGTCAACACAATTTATATATAGGCATAAAATGCATTAAATTTCACAACATATTTCAGTCTTTCTGTTATCATCAGGTGTTGTACATATACCTTCAACTTATCTGCTCTTTACGTAATTTGGCCAATGTTTACATATGGGTGTATTTTGTGTTGTCATTTACATATTAGTGCAATATCTCGTCTTAATTACAATATTAGAATATCAAAATGACAAATATATGGCCATTATATTTCTTATTAATTTGATGGTTTCTAATGTAGCACTTTTGACAATTATATCATTTGTGCTTTTAACCTCAGCTTGTTGTTTCTTAGTAGTTAAAATGCCACAATTATAGCTGACGAATATAAGATTGTTGGGTTGGTTGTAGTGTAGGTGTGTGCAGTGCTGTAGCGCAGTGGTTCTCAACCTTTGTCAGTCCACGGCCCCTGTAAATGTTTTTTTTTTATATAAGATGAGGGCCCGGTACCAGGCAGCGGCCCTCCGTTTGAGAAACACTGCTGTAGTGTAAGTTGTTGGCGTGTCTATCTTCGTGAGTTTTGTCAGGATGATCATGTGGAACTGGTGCTATCACTGCACCAGTTTCACGGGATAAAACTTCACAAACAAAACTCTCACAATATCATATCACACCCATGAGAAATCCAATATAGAGCTAACAACGACAAAATACGATGACAACTTGCACTATAACACGACACACAAAAAAATATATGACATCAAATTCGACAATATCCGTTGTTATATTCAAGGCATTCTAATAAATTTTAAATATCGTAAAGCCCAGAGCTGACCATCATAGGATCACCCGAAACGGCTGCACTACAAAACCGACAACAATAGCAGATGAAAGAAATCTGCACTGCACTGCACTGCACCATGGCATAGAAACTACACCGCAACAAATGCAACAGTCCTATATATTCATATGTTATAGTTAAGGTATTTTAACTAGAAATAAACATTATAATCACGTATTTGACATTTTAATATTCTAATATTTTAATTAAAAAGAGGTATTGCACTAATATGTAAATAACAAACACAAAATACACCCATATCTAAACACTGGCCAATACAGAGAAAGTGCAGAAAATTTGAGGTGCATGTAAAATGTCTGATGAGAGCCCAAAGGTTGAAACTTGTCAAACATCTATACATGGTGTGCTGACAGAAAGCAAACTAATAAATATGTCTCAGTAATATATTTCTATGTTTCTACAAGATTTGCCGGTTACTTAGAGCGAAGTTATGTTCGTAACTGATGTCTGAGTCGAGCCTGTGGTTAATCCAACTAATGTCTGAAGACATTTGGATGTTATCTGCAGAGCACAAATGTGGTACGTGTTTCTCATCTGAAATCCAAAGTATAACTGACTCCTTAGAGTTTCGTCTGATCCAAGCATAATATAAGACTTGGTTTCATTTTAGAACGTTGCGTAAAATGTGACGCCATTTTTAAATAGTCGCCTCTGATTGGTCACAGCTTTGAAAGCTAGAGCAAGAAATAAGACTGGCTGGCCTAGTTTCAAAAGAATTTGTTACGTCAGAGAAAACTGAAATTGCTACCCTAAGTCTCCTGAGCATCCCAGCCTGTCACTCTCTTGTCCGAGGTTCTATCAGAGAAAGTAAGGGTTATGGAAAATATCTGTCTTCCAAGGATGGTAAAGACGCACTGTCATAACCCCCTTCTCTTCTTGTTACAATCATTGGAACGATATAAAGAGATTATTCTATAAAAACAATAAAATATATTGATTCTCGGCTGATCAGAATAAGCGGTGGATGCCTTGAACATGATAAACATCACAGGCTTGTCTTTAAGTCCGAAAAGATCTCTTGGCTTCATATTTCCAATTTTTTATTATTTATCACTCATTGAAATTAAGAGTTGATTCTAATAAAATTTTCTCTATTGCGTACCCCAAACGAGACCGAAATTTGTCACTTCTGAGTACCTTATGCAGAAATTGCACTTAGACCTACAGTGTTCCTTTATCGAACCGCGTACAATGCGTTCATAAACGCTGTCTGGGAGATGGCAGCAGGGTAGCACAGTAATAACCCGCTCAATTTACGTTTGGTGCATATTCCGTTTGAAATCCTGCTGGAGACTGGTTATCCTGACTTTCCTTTCACATTCCCTACTTACTCCACGCAAAATCTGTGATAGTTGTTAACAAAATTTCACCGCATGTCTTCTTATTTATCGTACATAATCTTCGTAATACTGCTACATATGACATTAAAATGAGGGGCACGCGGTAGCGTAGTTGGTTGAGGCACTATGCTACAAGTCGTAAGGTCGTGGGATCGAACCTCGATGAGGTGGATATTTTTTCAATTTACCTAATCCTTCCAGCCGCACTATGGCCCTGGGGTCGACTAGGCCTCTAACAGAAATGAGTACCAGGAATATTCCTGGGAGTAAAGGGCGGACGGCGCGTAAGGTTGACAACCTCACCGCCATCTGTGAGCCGATTGTCTAGAAAAAGTGGGAGCCTCAACATCTAACAACCCTATGGGCCTTCACGGCCTGTTAAAAGGATACTTTTACTTTTTATGACATTAAAATGTAGGTAACGTCAGAATTTGGCACACCGTCGTAAAATAACCGAGTGACACTGCATAGCATATACAAATTTTGCAAACATCAGAATTTGAGGTACCTTGCCCTTCTAATTTCGTACTATGCGTGCTAAACTTCCTTGCATTGCGATGTGCCCCGACTTTTTGCCCTCCTTTTGTCTTTTACGAGTGTGTATTACCGGTCTGTTGGTATATGCAGTAGCGGCTACATCCGTAAAACTGCAGAAGCGGACGCAGCCAATCAGTCTGACCCTCCGATAATCTAACTTGAGTTAATTTGGGCATAATTTTCTAAACTGAAGAAACTGAGAAACAAATTTGGATTTCAGAGTTCTTCTAAAACGTTACTTTTTATACTAGGACGTGAAATAATAATAGCTAGGTATTTTGCCTTGTCCTCTAATATCGCAGTTTGATATCTTAAAGAACGCGGAAGTCATATAGGCGTTTATGCGCCAGATGTAAAGTGACCGTCGGTGAAAACAATTTTAACGGATCATAAACAAGTAACTAGCATTATTTAGAGTCCAAAATATTATATTTGAGCTTCCTGTCGCATTATTTGGGCACTTAATATATATGCATGTATGTATTTATGTATGTGTGTGTGTGTGTGTGTGTGTGTAATACATTATTGTAAATGCAATACTTCGTGGGTTGTTTGTTAAACAACTTAACCTATGTTTCATATGAGTTTTACGACAAGTTTTAGTCGTATGATTCTATCACCAGGCATTCATGATCATTAAACTGCTACACTGCACTTCACCACTTCACTGAGCGTAAAATGTAATATGCAAAAGTCTAAAAGTTACAAAGACAAAAATAACACCGTCTAATGTGACTATTTAAGTATTACATATATTGTAATAGTAGTTTCCGAAAAAGTATTGATGCCCTCTGAGGATGATCCGTAGGGATCGAAACATGTAAGGGTGATAAAACTTAAAGTCACATTAGACGGTGTTATTTTTGTCTTTGTAATTATTAGTGTGACGGACCAGAATGAAACAAATTGAATTCTAAAAGTTATTTTAGTTTTGAAAAACAAGCTCGATTCTAGTTAAAATATGCGTATTTCTGTGTTTTCTGCCGTGTTCCGGTTCCTGTTGTACAGTTCCGGTTCCTGTTGTACAGTTCCGTTGCAGCGACATGCATATTCTTGCGTGCTTAGGTTCTAGAGTACGCTGTTGTGGCTTGTGCGAATGAATTACGAACATTTGGTGGAGTTGAGCCTGTTCGGCTGTGGTGGATTTCAAATAGACCGAACTCTGAGAACAGTTAGTAACCCACAAGCACTAGCCACCACAACATATAGAACCCAAGAAGGTACACGTCCTGTAGTGGCAATACACAACAGCAAACGGAACAAAGCAAAGAGAGAACGTACTGTATATTTCACTTAGAACCCAGCTTGTTTGTAAAAAGATAAGAATTTTTATGCCCTTACATTTTACGTTTTATGCACAGTGAATTGATGCAAAGCAGTATATCAGTTTGATGATCATATATGCCTGACGATAGACTCACACGGCCGAAACATATTAAATGTATGTGAAACATAGATTAAGTGATTTTAGGTTATCAGGGCGGTGACTATGAAGTAAGCAGTCTTCTGGGATGTGGCGCCTTGTAGATATTGTGTTAACCGACGTTTCGGAGGAACGTATCGCCTCCATCTTCAGGGTAAAATAAAAAAAAAGAAATCCGCGATCGAACCAGAGTGCGCAGGTGCTAACAGACACCTGTTAGCACATGCTCACGCTCCGTCGGTATAATTCGCTTGCGGACTACAGGCCACGGATATTTTAGCATCCCGTTGAATTGAGGCATCATCCTTATCATTAAAGCACCAGTCTATAATGCGACAATATTTTAAAATATAAAAAAGACATGTAGAATATGTTTCTCACTAAAAGTGTAACTTTCTTTTTTCCTTGGCACTACATCCTCAGTGGGCCTAGGCCTACCTCCATGAACTCCGTTCACTTCGGTTTTTCTAGATCTTACACGTTCGGTAGGACTCCTTGGGCGAGTGATCAGCTCGTCGCAAGGCCTATACCTGTAGACAAACACAGAAAAACGCACACAAGCATCCATGCCCTGAGTGGGATTCGAACCCACGATTCCGGCTTCCGAGCGAGCGAGGACAGTGCATGCCTTAGACTGCTCGGCTACCGTGATCGGCAAAAATGTAACTTTGATACTTTATAATTATATGATTATTTTTATATTTTACAATATTGTTACATTACTGACGGGTGCTTTAATAATGAGGATAGAACCACGGAGTTTATTTTTGTTTGAAAGCTGTTAAGTAACGAACCACTGGACCAAAATATATGAAACTTCGTAACGAGATACATACATACACATTCTTATTAACTATTGTTTCTAAGTGAACAATTAAAAATATGGTTATAGAGCAAATCTTTGAAGTTCCTGTCAAGAGAAATAGTTACGCATCTGCACGTAACAGCTACGAGCATTCAGATTGGAAAGATCCAAAGAACGCATGGAGAAACTCGGTGTATTTTAGTACAGAATATACATTTCCATACTCCTTTTATTCTTTCTCTCTTAATCTTCCTAATACTTTCCTTTTTCTCTGTCATTTTTAATCTTCTATTTTTATCTCTTTATCTGGAGTCACAGGAATATTATACACACGCTTCGCTTCAAGATGTACTGGCTGAACAGTGGTTGCCTTGAAGAAAGCAGTCTTCTGGGATTTGGCACCGTGTATATGTGGTGCTAACCGACGTTTCGGAGGAACGTATCGCCTCCATCTTCAGGGTAGAAGAAAAAATATAAGAAATCTGCAAGCGAAGAGACCGTGAGAACCGGTAAAAGCAGACTCAGTTCCTCCGAAACGTCGGTTAACACCACATATACACGGTGCCAAATCCCAGAAGACTGCTTTCTTCATAGTCACCGCCGTGAAAGCCTCAAATCTTACATAGTGGTTGCCTTGTTTATATTTATTATTTTTGTACTGCTTATACTTTTTATGTAGAGTTGAGATTTCCACAGCGGTGACTATGAAGAATGCCGTCTTCTGGGATGTAGTGCCATGCAGATATTGTGTCAGCTGACGTTCCTCCGAAATATCGGTTCACACAAACTCTACATGGCACCACATCCTAGAAGACGGCGTTTTCCCGACTTATACTTTTCTTCACATCTTTAGCTGTATCTGTTGTGGTTTGTGTTCATCTCTGAACACTACTGGAACGTAGAGTTTTAGGTTCAGCATACATTCATGTTCGAGAAGACGCGTCGCATTTTTCAGCCATATAATTTTCACGCCTAAGTATTTATACTGTGGTTAGCATTCCTTCTTCTTATTACATAGCTCATAATTTCGAATCTCGTCCGTAAAATTTTATCTTGGTTTTCCTCAATCTACCCCGATAAAGACACTCTTCCATCATACACTTCCCACTGTACGAGCCATAATGAAGACATGTCGTTGCTGAAGGGCCATTAAGCGAACAGAAATGAAATTAAGAACTTGGCATTAAAAGCAACTCGTGACTTTCAGAGGAGCGCCAGTCAGACAACGAATTATTTTCTTTGGCCAGAATTCAATAACTGTAAGAAGCAGGAATTATATGGAGCCACACCGGCAGTCGCGGTCAAATGGGTAGCACTCCTGCTTCGTACTCTGTAGGACTCAGGTTTAAATTTCGGATCCGTGACCAGAAGTTAACGTCTTTTCTAAGCTCTCCAAACAAATGCTGGAATATTTTCTAAAATTACGCCACGACCGCTAGGGACACGAGGTAACGTAGTGGGTT